CTTCCATGATTTTGGGACTACGCCTAGGGAGTAGGAGTACCGGAAAAGACGCGTTAAAACTAGTGCCAACTCTGGAGCACACGTCCTCAGCACAATTGGGGGGATTCCGTCAGGCCCACTCGACTTGTGGATGTCCAGGGAGAGGAGTGCTTTGCGAACCGAGCGCTGAGTGAACTGCACTTCCGGCATGGAGCACTCACACCGCGGGATGGTCGGCGGCGTACTCCCCCGTCATCGAGAGTCGAGTTACACGCAAAGAAAGAGCCTAGAAGATCGGCTTTCTCCTTTGCGGTGTAGGCCAGTGAGTCGCCCTCCCTGTGCAGAGATGGAAGAGATGGCTGACAGAAATTCCCCTGGACAGCCTTGGCGAGAGACCAGAATGCACGGGTTCCAGAAGGAAGACGAACTATTCTCTCGCCAATTCTGCCTATTGCTCTGACTTTGCCTTGGCAATGACTCTTTTGAAGGACCTAGAGGCGGAATTATACTTCTTTTTTTAGAGCGCTGGTGTTTACATCCCTGGACGCTGATGCGTAGCCCAGGCTTGGTAGCACCACTTGGTAGCAAACCATGGCTGAGATTTGCCTCCAATGGGCACCACAGAGGAAGGAATAAAAAGTTCCATACCCTGAAGTACCACATCAGCGACAGAATCCGCAACAACGTTGGGATCGTCCGGCGAGAAGCAAACCCGCCCCCAAGGGTAGGATGCAAAGAAAGACCGCATCCCATCCCAATCGGCTGACCTATAGTGCCAAACACGGCGGCAGCCTGCAGAATGCAACCGCGATTTCAGCGTGAGTGGCACCACACTCCGGACAAGACAATGGTCCGAGGAGCCTAAAGGGGCGTCGACGGAAATCTGATATCCGTCCGGGTGAGAGGTCAGCAGAAGGTCCAACAGGGAAGGTGCATGATCCTCCACATCTGGAATCCGCGTGGGCGAAGTAACCAGTTGTGTCAGACCATATGCCAAGGCAAAGTCATGAACAGATCTCCCCGCATGATCGGTTAAACGTGAACCAAGCCATTCGGCGTGATGGGCGTTAAAGTCGCCGAGGTTCACGATCTCTGCGGAGGGGATCTGCTGCAGCAACGAATCTGCAGCCATTTGGACGTGGTCGAAGAGTCGGTCTGTTTCGGCATTACCGCTGTGGGACCTATAGAGGCACCCGTAGATGCGCGGATGGTCGTCGCTGTCTACGCGTAGCCAAAGGATGGACATGTCCGAACCTTCAAGTCTGCCGAGGCGTCGAAAACTGATGTCCTCTCTGACGTAAACGCAAACTCCAGCCCGAGGCACAAAGGAGTGTTCCAGTTTGTACCCCGGGTAGGAGAGATACGAGACATCAGCCGGAGAGGACACCTGCGTCTCGGTCAGAAAGAGCAGAGCTGGCTTCGCCGTCTCGAGATGGTAGTGGACGGCGTTTAGGTTAGAGTGAAGTCCCCTGATATTGCAGAAATTCACGGACAGCGTGGCAGGGGTCGCCTTGGTCTTGTTGCTCCGTTTGGCCCGAGCAGTTTTAGTCTTGAGCGGAATTTTGCCCCCCCCCCCCAGAATACGCGGGGCAGCCTGAGCACCCACGCTCAGAAGTGGAGAAACATGGTCGTGGAGGCTCAGCGAGGGATTCTCCAGGGGTGCTGGTACCCTCCTGGGGTAGACTATCATTGAATTCCGCTACCATGTTGATGGGGGGAGGGGATTTAGGCCTCCGGCCACCTGCACTCACCAGACGAAACGCGGAAGCAGAGCTTCCACTTCACGTCGGTATTCTGTGAGGTCGTGGTACCACCCCGGTTTGAGCCGGCCCATACGTGCGACAGCAAAGCTGCCGCGTGGCTCTACCACTGTTCAAAAGTACTGTACTCACTAAAAGCTATTGGGCCCAGTGGCACAGCTTACTGCTTCAGGATGGAGTTCTGTGCCGTAAATGGGAAAATGTTCGGGGGGGTCAGCTGTCATTTGCAAATGGTTGTCCCTAAAGCTAAAGTACCGGGTGTTCTACAGCTGTACCATAATGATTGTTCAGGAGGCCATCTGGGAGTTAAACGAACTCTACTGAAGATCCGAGAACGGTTTTACTGGGTCCACTGTCGAAACGATGTCGAGGACTGGTGTCGCAAATGTACAAGTTGTGCGGCTGTAAAGGGACCTCAGACTCGTAGTAGAGGTGCATTGAAGTTGTACAATGTTGGTGCACCATGGGAGAGAATAGCCATTGACGTGGCGGGGCCGTTTCCGGAGAGTGAAAGCGGTAACAAGTATTTCATGGTTGTGATGGATTACTTCACTAAGTAGCCAGAAGTCTTCGCCATTCCAAATCAAGAAGCTTCAGCAGTTGCGGATAAACTAGTTCATGAAGTCTTCTGTCGTTTTGGAGTACCTTTAGAGATTCACAGCGATCAAGGAAGGAATTTTGAGTCTCAAATATTCCAGGAAACTTGCCGAGTTATGGGTACTCATAAAACAAGAACGACTTCTTATCACCCGCAATCTGATGGAATGGTGGAACGATTTAATCAGACATTAGAGAGGTACCTAGCAAGAGTTGTAGACAATCGGCAACGAGATTGGGACAAGCACATACAACCGTTTTTGTTGTCATATCGAAGCGCTGTTCACGAAAGTACAGCAGTGACACCAGCTTTCGCAAACTTTGGAAGAGAATTACGGCTGCTTGCAGACCTGATCACAGCTAACATTTTATTATTTTAAAAAGGTTTACTAAACCTGGAATTAGTAGGCAGTGAGCTAAAGAATAAAATAAAGTAATTAAAGTTAATTCGATATATTGTTCGTGATACTGAAATATTTGTTATATTGTATTAGGTCACTTGCGTAAGTAAATATTTAGGTTTACTATTTTGTTGGTAAAACGTAAAAAATACGTAGCATTTTGTTTTTTATTGCCCTCAAATGGGTCAAATTTGCCCCTTTTTCGGTGGAGCGCTTTTTTAGTGGCCACACTTATGAAATGTCAGAATTCTACGGAATGAAAAATCAAATCAGAGTTTACGACGTTTACTGTGACCTTTGAGTATTAAACCAAAGGAGGCGGCATCGCAAGGCATACCCCTTTGTAAAAGGTACGAGAGTCCGACTCATGCCTGTTAAATAAAATCTTGTTGCTCCGCGTCGTGCGCCATACCGCAAGTGATCGTGCCAGTAAATCGAGCTACGACAATGCCGAATTGCAGTGTATTTACATGCAAAAACAATCAAAAACGTTAATTCTACAAAAGGAAAATATGACTTTTCATCTGGGAGTATTCTTGACATAATATTAAAGTAATCTTATCTTTAAAACTTGTAGTTTCTGAAAATTTCAACAAATACGAAGTGTTGCCATAATAGTTCATAAAGTGAAAATAATCCATTTTTAAATAAATATAATTTACTACACAAGTTAAATATATCAATGAAAATGTATTTCGTAATAACTAAATCAGTTTGTGATGAATAATAATCATTACATATGGATGTGTAGTGGATTTTGCTAAATGATTTATATAACCAGCGCAATTTCAAAACGATTCTGAATATTATATAATTTACTATAATCGATAACTGGTATTTATCAAAATATTATACAAAATAAAGGCCAAATAAGTCAAATCGAAACTTGTTACCTCGCAGCAAGTGTGCAATTTTTATAAAAACTGGTATCATGGCAACCGAAAGTATTGCATTAGAGTGATCTACGCCACGTAAGCAAGTGTGCAATTTTTATAGAAACTGGTATCACTGCAACCGAAAGTATTGCATTAGTGATCTACGCCACAACTTTAGCTATCGATAAGTTAATTAACCAAGCGGGTTTGTCTGTTGAACCGGTTTGTAGTTTTATTTAGATTTATAATAAAGTATTACAAAAAGTAGTAAATTTTTCTATTATTGGTTTGTTTTTATGTCTGACTTATCAAAAATCTAGGGAAGGTTTAATGTACGCATCCCAAGAAGTTATTGATTTATGTTGCCGGTGCGAGATAGAAATTCGGAAAATTTTTACTGCTGACAAAAAAGTAAGCTGTCTGTGTATACACAAAATATTGTTTCAAAAACACTAAACCACTTTATTGGTAAAACATTATTTTCAAGCATAGCGGAACATTATTTTGATAATGAATATGTTACGCATACTTAATATAGAATTAGCGAAAGTAGCGATATAGAAGTATAGTAATGTCAGAATCCATTATCTGTCTAAAGAATGAATTTTTACGTTAATCACGAGATGTAGTTTAATGTGCAATTTTACTTTCAATGTAAATAAAAAACTACATTAGGTACGAAACACAAATAGGTGATACAAAATTACCAAAAATAAAACAAAATGAAAAAAGTATTATTTTAATAGTCAAGTTTAGTATATACGTTACTAATGCATTTTTTGGGATCACTCTTTTTGCAAGGTAACTAATTCTAGTGCTTGCATATTTTTCTATCACTAAATTTGCCAGTTCAACGTTATATAGAACGTAATCATTATCGAAATAATGTTCCTGTATACTTACAAATTTCGTTCTTCCGACAAAAAGTTTAAATATTTTATTTTTAATAAATATAGACTGCTTAAATTTATAGTCAGGAGTTAAGTTTATTCTTATATCTATTTCACAAAGGCGACACAAATTAATTACCTCTTTAGATGCAAACAATAAGACACCTCTACTTGTTTTTAAACTACTTTTGTCCGGTGCCCCCAGAAGAGCTTTTATGCATATGCTACACTTATTTTTTACTATAGTAAAAACAGCAAGCCCGCTATATATTCGACCACTTTTTCGCCAAAAGGTGACAAATAGGTGTCATGTACGTGGATCTAATATAATTAAAATCAGTAAATTTTCTGTATTCAAGCAACTGCCTAACTCTTAATCCATTGGTTTCACGAACTACATATGTGTAAAGCGTGGGTCACCAGCCATGATTTTAGGTCAGCACTAGTAACCCTTTACTAAGTACCCAATAGGTACTTTACAAGAAGTGTTAATGCCCATTAATAAAAATGTTCTGTAACAATTAGCTCGTTGTCTGATAAAGATGTTGAGCACAAGTTGGTCGAATAGTTGATTTCTTCTTCAGCTAGTTCTTCACCATTATTCTGTTGAAGATGTTGCCTACAAATAATAAACATAGTTTTAGATCTTCAACATGAACAAAAACCAAATCGTGACATGTCTATTTTTATATAACAGTAGTGAAGAATTCACTCACCTTGATAATAATGGTAAACTGCAACCAATATTGTCATTATATTGGTCATATTCCACGATCTCATTTTCATCAAAAACCTTGTTCTGTGCTTCATTTGTTACTGTTACTTCTTCATGTGTTACCCTATAATGTGTAAGCACTAACAATAACATGTAACAATAGATAAATCTATTTATTCGTTCTAAAAATATAAATACCTTTGTTTTGTGCATTTTATATATTATTATATTCTACTTTGCTTTCCGCCTTACCTAAGCCGTGATACATCATTATTGTCAATGTTTTCTTTGTTCTCATTTATAAACCTGGAAAATAAAATAAACTTTTATTCCTTCCTATGTTCATTGTCTAAATAATATTAGAATAAGAGTTATTTAAATCTAGATTTATAGTACTTTTTTCGCGACTTCACGTTTGATCCAATACTCATTCACAGTAAAAATAGCTCATATTGGTGACTACAATTACCCCTGCCGTAGTTTTTATGAAGATATAATATAATACTGTATTTATAATGCGGTCAAACTAAAATAGGTTTATATAAAAATTACTGCGTCCCGTTTACAACAATCAAAGAAGGAAAAGTACTTAGAGTAAATAAATTCTTACGCTTTATTATTTTTTGTTTTGTGGGTCCATTCCTTTTTTTACTTCGAGCCGAAAGACGTAAACCTTTTCGGGAATCTGGCTGAGTATTATCTGTAGAGTAATCAGTAGGTATAACATCAATTTGTTGTTGTTTAAAAAAATTTGTCTGTTCGACATTAGACATACCTTGATAAGTAGTTGGTAGGTAGGTACCAACCTATCTATGTACATGGGTAGGCAAGTAGCTACACACACACATACACACACACACATATATATATATATATATATATATATATATATATATATATATGGTAGGTATATACTAGTACTGCATAGTTGTATGTGGGAGCAGTAGTGGCCCAGTGGTAACAGCCCGGACTTACGAGTTGTAGGACTTGAGTTCGAACCCAGCCATGCGCATTACTTTGTGTAATTTATTTCATTACCACTGCTCTCAAAACGGTGAGGAAACCGGCATGTCCTAGAACCAAAATAAAATTCGAAGACATGTGACATCTACCAACCGGCAATGGGCCCGCGTGGTGTATTTACAGCCCACTCCCACTCACAGAGAGAAGGCCTGTTTTCCAGCTGTGGGAACATTATAGGCTGATGATGACCGACTACATACGTAGTTGTTCATGTTATCAACATGATGTGGGTAAAAAATTGGTTTGATATTTTTTACAGTACAATCAGCTACCTACTTTAGCTCTTGTATAATTATGTAAAAAAATCTACTTAACCATTTTACAAAACGTCTTTTTTAGTTCTGCTCAATTTTACTCAATAGTAGTAAAATCGAGATAAAATCCTTATCCAAACAAACTCGGTGTTCGTATTCACTAATTCCAGGTTCGTATTACATTATAAAATCACTAAACCTTTCGCAAGCCAAATCAGTGTCCGGTATAAAAAAACAAGATCGTTATAGTAGGTAGGTAGAATTCACTAAAAATAAAATGCAACAAATTTTATTAAGAGGCCCGAGAGCCGAGCGTGGGTGTGCCAGCGTCAACTCCCCCGTCTCACCCCGCCTCAACCCCGCACGACTCGCCCCCGCATACCTCACCGCCACTTGACTAACAAGCAAGTGAGAACGCGATAACATTCAACGAAGAATAGTGTGCGGAAATTTTATAAAACTTGTTCCAGGAAATACGTGTTTTTCAGTAAGCCTTACAAGTTTGCGAAATAAATGTTTGTCACTTCGGAACTCCATTATATTTGCGAGTTTTCTATCAAAATATTTTCTTTGGTGTTACTATTTATGAGTACATTATGAACGGCCAAAATTCAGGTAAATTTTGTGCAAAAAAGTAGATTTTTGGAGGCTTATACTGAATTTGTTTCTCCAAATTTTAATTTTTTTATTTTGATAGAAACCTAGATATAGTGCACAAAATACATATTAGTTCAAAAATTTCAAATAAATATCTATTACAACGCCAAAATCACGTACGAGCGTTTGTATAAAAAGTAAGACGTGTTGGCCGCACTTAAGTTTGGTTTTTGAAAACCAAACTTGGTTGCGAACAGCAACATCACGAAACTTAACCAATATCGGTCTTGGCTTCTTTCCTAATAAAAGTCCAAGGCGATGACAGCTACTAAAAGAAGTGTGGGATAAATCAGAAACATTGAGTTTGTTCAATAAAAGAGAAGAGACTAGTATAGATGTATCCTTAGTCTTATCCTCCCTAATTCCATACTGCAGCAATATCTTACGTCGGCGTCTCATCTCCAGACGATCAATCTCTCTTCCGAGAAATTCTACCCGTTTCTGGACTGTTTCCAGAGTGGATAAGATGGACTTCCTAACAGTTGCAAACTCCGCTGCCAGTGCCGAAGCGTTAGTGTCAGATATTGGGGTGGTCTTCTCTAAGTCTCGTTGAAATTCGTTCATGCGAGAGTTGAAGAGTTCTGACATGGCTGACAGTGATCCTTTTAGTGTTTCCATAGTTGTTTTCAGTAGGGATAATTGAGCAAATTGGGGAGAAGAATACATAAGGAAATTAAAGCTAATAGATATATAAATATTATATTTACGTAACAAACATTAATATTACCTTTTTTATATTTTTATTATAATATACGAGGGTGGACTGAAAAGTACTCGGCCTGACCAAGAAAATAAACACATACTAAATCAGTTATATTTTTATTTTTCTACATAATCACCATCAAGTTCAATACACTTTTGCCACCTCCCCTTCCAAGCATTTAGACCGTTGAAAAAAAATGATTCTTCCTTAGAGTCAAAATATGCGTCTACAGCTGCTTTGACCTCGTCGTTTGTCGAAAATCTTTGACCTCCCAAGTGCTTTTTTAGGTTAGGGAACAGAAAGAAGTCTGATGGTGCCAGATCAGGTGAATACGGCGGATGCGGTAACAGTTCAAAGCCACAGTTGTGTATTTCAGCCATTGACTGTACTGACGTGTGAACACGGGCGTTATCTTGATGAAACAGGACTTTTCTTCTGAGCATTCCTCGACGTTTTTCTTTTATTTCCTCTCGTAAACGACGTAGTAAGGTGCAGTAGTGATCAGAGTTTATAATCTGACCCCTTTCAAGATAATCAATCATAATCACACCTTTCGCGTCCCAGAATACTGAAGCCATCACCTTATTTGCCGACAAAATCGACTTAGCCTTTTTAGGGGGTGGTGAACCAGGTCATCTCCACTGTTTTGATTGTTGTTTTGTTTCCGGTGTACAGTAATGAACCCATGTTTCGTCCATAGTAACAAAACGATTCAAAAAATCATCTGCATCGGCTTCAAATAACTCAAAACAGTCGCGTGAAATAGTCAATCGCGTCCTTTTTTGTTCAACTGAAAGCAGTCGCGGAACCCACCTCGCAGACACCTTGTGGAAACCCAACTCGTTGACAATGATGTTTTGAGTTCGTTCATAAGAGATGCCTATAATCTCGGCTATCTCTCTAATTTTTAATCTGCGGTCTCCCATTATTAAATCAAGTACTTTTTTAATATTTTCGTCAGTAGTTGACGTCGAAGGCCTTCCAGAGCGGGGTTCATCTTTCACACTCTCTCTCTCTACCACGCTTAAATTCTGCTATCCATTTTTTGAAGGATGAATATGACAGAGCACAATCGCCTAATGTACTGACCATGTCATCATGGATGGCTTTTGATGATAGCCCCTTCTTATGGAGGTAATTAATGACGGCACGCTTCTCGATTTGCTCCATTCGCGGAAATTATGTCCGACTACTTTGTTAATAAATTTATAAAATCACAACTAATTATCGCACACGTTTCGAACTTCACACAATGAACTAGTCTGAACTGAACTAAATAATGTGGGTAGATTTGAATTTTAGAATTGAATGGATCTGTGTTAGGCCGAGTACTTTTCAATCCACCCTCGTATTGTATAACATTGAAAAAGAAACGTGTTACTTTATTCACTGCTACCTACAACAACAAAAAAACGCCTTTATGTAATATGTAATTATGAAGTGCTAAAAATTATGAAAGGGAGTCACAGAAATGCTTTAACAGAAATGAGGTTTTGGTATGGATGTGTGAAATTACAATACAATACTCTTTATTGTACACCAACAAAACATTAATAAATAATGAGGGATAAACAAAAGGCGGTCTTATTGCTACATAGCAATCTCTTCCAGACAACCCAGAAGAGGAAATTAATAAAAATAAAAATAAGAATAATGGGTAGGGTGCACTAAATTAGACAAAAAAAATATAACTTATAACATACTTAAGGTATATTAGTGACCATAACTAAGAGGAGAAAGAGAGAGGAGTTAAAGAGACAAATAGTGTTCCTTAATTTGTTTCTTGAACACATTTAAAGATTGAGCACTTTTAATGGACTGGGGTAAGGAGTTCCAGAGTCTTACTCCAAGAACAGCAAAAGATTTATCATAAAATGTCGAGGAGTGTATAGGACATTGGAGCGAAAGGTTTTCTTTGGACCGTAAGGAAAAATCGTGACAAGAGCTAAGAAATTTAAAACGTTCTTTCAGATAGGGAGGACTTGATACATTAAATAAGACGCAGTAGAGCGCAGAAAGTATATGAGTATTCCGACGAAGACGGATTGGGAGCCACTTGAGTTTAGTGCGGTATTCAGAGACATGGTCATATTTACGAAGCCCAAATATGAAGACTTAAATTAGAAGATAGGTTCGGGAAAGAAAGGAATATAATAGTATGGATTTTGAATGTTGTAGGTACATATAAGTAGGACAATGTAAGTGATGTATAGATAAAGTATTAGAAACTAAAATCTATATATATATATACATATATATATATATATATATATATATATATATATATATATATATATGCGAATAGTTTCGCTATTTATTTGAATGAAGGAATTAAGCCCACTTTTCACTATGGGACATAATATAATTATAATTTAAGTCTCGGGATATAAATTAATATCGCTCACCGTACTTTTAAATGGAACCGTTTACCCTGAGATGTAATATATACAGGTTGTTAGTGTACACTCCCTTGTCCTTGAAACCAGTGGTTTGGTTTCACTTATAGAACGTAAATTCAATGAAAAATAACATTTTTTGGTAAAATCTCAATTTTTCCTTAATTGCTCAATTTTTGCCTGTCCTAAGCCAGGATGAAAGTATGAAGTAAAAGTTACATCACAGGTTATGTGTACCTATTGTGTTTTTTATTGGAAGGTTGTGTAGGTAGCTAGCGCGGGCGGTGATCTTTACAGTGATTACGTCACTCGGGCGCATCCATGAATTTGCGGACGGTGTCGGACAGAAACTTTTTAAATTTTTATGAAAGAAAATAGCGTTTTTTTTATTCATTGAATTTGCGTTCTATAAGTGAAACCAAACCACCACTGATTTCAAGGATAACGGTGTTTACACTAACATTCTGTATAACAACCAAACTATAAATATTTTCGATCAACCGAGCGATATTTTCATAAAAGAAGTTGAGGTTGGCGCGCGACCAATTACCCTTCGATTGAGTCATGCCACTTAAGACATAGATCGGGCGCCAAAGGCGGTCGAGAAAGCGGTCCAATTTACAAAAACAATTGATTGATGACTGTAGTTCTCAAAATAAAATACTTAATAAAGTGATGATTTTATAACTGTCAATAATAAAAGGTTGCTTTCTGAAACAAGTTTGTTTCATTTAGCAGCATTTTAGATGTAGTAATGAAGACCCAACTTACGAAAAGAGATTTTTAGCATGATTTTTTTTCGTAAAATTATATTTCAAAAAGTAAAGCGATGACCACTTCTTTTTACGAATGCAAAATATAGTTGGTTTCATTAGGTATTCGAAAAAAAAAAACAAAAATGTATCATGTAATTTTTTTATTTACAAGACTTCAGTATGGTCATGATACGTAAAGAATTTACAAAAAAATGACTTGAAATA